CTTTTGGGAGGTTAAAAAAAGAAAGAAAAAGAAAAAAAAGAGAGAAAAAGAAAAAAAATGATGGCCCAGAATGCCTCAAATGTTATGTTCGGGCGTCTAGAACACAGAAATTTCGCGGGGGCATGCCCCGGACCCCCTACGACAGTGTTGTCTCAATCGGCCCAACTTTCGGCCCCCCTTTTGGACATTTCTGGATCCGCCCCTGTAAACAGCTGTGTAATTAAAGGCTTGTAACTTCATAAGGAAGTGTCCAATTTGAATGATTTTTTTACCATTTTATAGCTATTATTTTACTCTCTAGCACTATATTAATAACTCAAAATCGATTTTTGCGACAAGTGACTGGTTTGGCTTGTCTTTGCCACAAATGATGGAATATTGAACTCTATTCCAGTATACCTATTGTTGGATTATTGTATTGAATAGAGGTTATTTATGAGAAATTATAGACCTAGATAAAAGGTTTTTTGACTATTAATTTGGACGTGTAACAACTGCTTTTACCAGGTTTTTGTTACAAGTGAGTATTTTGGATGTTTCAATTATTGTATTTTTCTATTCTAGTTTTAACGGTGTAAGAAAACAAAAATGCGGATGGAGTAACATTTAATTTAGTTTATTGTTTATTGTTTTACTATTGTTAGCTTAGGTTTCAGGTGGTGTCTCTCCATTTTAAAGATGTACTGTCTTCAGCTACTGAATTGTTTACGCCAGGTTCAGGTGACATGTCTAAATATGATCCCATCATGACCACGTATAGCTACATCATGACTATATGGGAATACAGCACTTTCTTGTCAAGTTATTAGCTTTCAATGTAATTTTACATTATAACGGTATAGTATTTTCCGTCACCAATGCATAAATGACACCAATGCATAAATGGTACCATTCCTGTTTTATTTACATAGATTATTAAATTGGCTGGTAATCAATTTAAGCATTTTTTTTTCATTAATAAATATGTAAATCAGTGAAATCTGATTTTGATAATAATAATAATAATAATAATAATAATAATAATAATAATAATAATAATAATAATAATATATCTCATTTGTTAATAACTTATTTAAATAAGTAATTCAGAGCTTTAATCAAAATTTTAAATGTTTTTTTTTTTTATAAATTATATATATCTTTGCTTCAGACAGTATATCTTTAATTGAGTTGACAAAAACAAGTCACTTGTGTGGTAGACTCACCTTATTCCTTCAAGTGAATGTTATCAATGGACTTAAGAGAAATAGTCAGTTTATTTTTTCTGCTGCTGATGTCTCTCATAGATTCTCATTGGTATTGTTGCACTGTAAACTCTGTTTTCTCTGTTGGATGTATATATTAACGGCGATTCCTCCCAAAGTGTGTGCGTAGAAGACAGATAGCATTATCATGGATTAGAACCATAAAAACAATTATAAGATTATCACACCCATCCACATCAGTTTAAAAATAATGTTTGGCTTCCATTGCCTTTTTCCTAAACCGCCATCACTTTTACAAGTGTCTTTATGTGATAATCTAATAATTTTATGTGGCCTAAGCAAAAGATTGTCTTCAATGTATTTATGAAAAACAATATGTCTTATGTTTATATCGAAAGTTGTAAATGATGTTCTTTCTATAATAAAAAGAAAAATATTGATCAATTTTGTCCATTTCTTGTCTACGACATTCAAACACTATTGTGGAGAACATAGTCTTTAGATAATACTGGACTACTTAGGCCAATCACCAAGCGTGAGATGGACTGTTTAATCGCACTAAGTACTGTACTAAAGTTTGTTGGATGGTGAAACCTGAAGTCGGCACGGAATAAATATCATCGCAGCATTCTAAAGGACGAAATAAAGGACAAGAACAGTTTTTCAGTCTCTGACGACGCTCTCGTTAAGTCTACTACATGGTTACTTGCCTTAGTAATTAAGTATCATGTTAGGACTGTAGATAAGGAAATACGTAAGGTATCTTACCGCCATAGACGTATTTAACAACCTTTTACGTGCACATGCAATAATCAATGGAACGTGTAAGAACCCTAACCATATAATTACTAACTTAACTGGCGAAACATTATTTAAGGAAGAAGAATCTGTCTTAACATTCCGTAATGGATTAGCTACACGACCAGGACTCTGATATGTTTGTTTATGCTGAATCAATTTGGGAACAACTTAATAATGCTGATGATAGCTTGATTAAGATTTGGGTTAGATTGCCTTATCTAGGAAAACCAGGTGAGTTCATTTTACGTAGATGTTTAAATAAGGTAAAGAAACACTTAATTAAAAAGGTAATATTCATAACTTTATGGCAGTATAAAAATGTTTCTCATTTTATATCTACTAAGGATCAAACCCCTAAGGAGTACAGAAGTTCTGTTGTCTATCATTTTGTATGTCCAGGCTGCAATAGTGATTATATTGGTAAGACAGATAGGTGCTTAATAACTAGACTAAAGAACATTCTTCACGATCTGATAGTGTTATATTTGATCATGTTAAAAACTGTGAGGCATTCCAATATGTTTTAGGATTACAGGGATATACTTGAAAATGATAATGTCGTCTGTAATGTAAGTAATAAATTAGGTTTAATATTTTCTAGTACTAACATTATTGACAGCTCCCGACACTGGTCTACCCTATTGTTTAAAGAAGCGTTTGCTATACGTAGACTACACCCTTTGCTTAACAATGGGCTCAGAGCTTTCTTTGTTTTTGTAGGGTATCTTTGATTATTAGAGTAGGAATGCTTTGATCTTTTATTTAAATCACTGCTATGTCACCTACTAGAGGTAATGTTTTGATTGGTTAAACACTTTTGGTACTAGTGCATATAAGCTTGTTATACAGTATATGGATAATTTTTTCATTCCTGATAATGACATAATTAATGTCGAAATATTGAATCCCAACACGATGGCGTGTATCTCAATACTTGGAGCACGTATTATACTTTCTTATCTGAGATTAATTCGGTTTAAGTACCTTGTACTGTACTTGATGCAAGACTGAATTTGAGGAGTGACGTAGAACAGCCAATCAGGCTGCTTAATTTTCCTTCATTGATAGTGCCTTCCGCACAGCTACTAACAAAATTGAGACCCGTCACTACAGCTGTACAATGTGTAAAAAGTTTTTTTTTTTAAATCAAAACACCGAATAACAATGAAACCAAGTGTCAAAGGAGCAAAGTAGTCTCGGCAATCTGACATTCGGCAAACTGGATTTTTCGATCATCTGGCCTAGAACCGTGGAAATTCGTGGGGGCGGCAAACAGCCGCAATTGTGATCCTTTATCATTTATTTGTTTGTTTGTTTGTTTATTTACTTTGTGAACATACGCCTTTAGATCGGCGGCACTCAAGGGCGGTGCGTTCAACTTAAACACAATACAATGGATCACTTATTTACTGTACAATTAATACTTGACATAATAGACACAAACTTGAATATAGCTAAAATGAAACTTTGATTAACATTCTTTTTTTCTTTTTGATGCTGACGACCTCTTCATGGCGTTGGATACCAGGGGAATCTACACTGGGTCCATCACGGCTTGGGTGTGCAGAATGGCATTGTAGCTGGCCCCCCTCCCCCAGCAAGAAAAGTTTAAAGAAATTTAAATGTATTATCATTAACATAATAACGTTAATAGGAACCATCGATCCGCATCGGGATCTGGTTGTAAAGCTAAAATGGAAAGGAGTACTTACTCAGAACGTTTCGATCCCTATCAGAGATCTTTATCAACTGACAGCTAGGTGTTACTTAGGGATCAGAACTCTCATCTGTACAATGATCCTATCGAATCCACTCCGAGCCGGGCCCCGCACAACCTTCGACGTACTCTGGAAGTACGACGTCGTCAACAAATGACATCATGACCAAGCTAAATAACACTTCTGTTATCTGTTGTGCTACCTGATAGTAATCGAAACGTTTTGAGTAACTCCGTGTTCACTTTTAACTTTACAAAAACGAAAATTTGTCATCTCTACAATTCTTGATGTGAAATGTGAAGTGGGTGTCAGAGAAATTAGTCTTCACCATGACCTACAGCAAAGACGAAAAAATGAAGAGAATTCAAGTGTTATACTATTTGTCTGAATAAAACGTTAACTGCAAGAATCAGTATAGGTAGGAATAATAAGTTAATATATGTATATAAATTTTTTTTTTCCTCTCGCAGCTACCCTTTTACTGTTAAGAATTTATACATATACATAC